GAGTCTTACTGGGAGAATTATGTGTGCAAATGACTTAATTCACAGGAGATACCCCTGAAGTTTGAATATTTATGAATAAAGAGGCCCGTGAGAACAAACATAGGACTGAAGCCTGCAATTGACTACAGTTCAACAGTTATGAACTTGATGAACCTAGCCAAGGAAACAAAAAAGTCAACTTGTTGATGGCAACCTTCATTTTGGAGATGGACACCAATTACACAACACTGTTCTAGGAGATATCTAGCAATGCCAGACATTAAATATGATGTTATTTTATACGGGCATTCACAATTACCCCAAACACCCATGGAACATACAGGAGCTCCACGTCTGTGCACAAGCTACCACTCTGGGTCTGGAAATCATCTGCCTATTGTAAAAACAAAACAAAACAAAAAACAACACAAGAAAAGTATGAGATCCACACACTCGTTCCTACACCCATGGGATCTGACCACGTAGCATGGTCTCCCACCCCTGGCAGTCTTCCTGAAGTGTTAAACTGCTGTTCCCAAACACACTTGGCTAAATCCACGCTCTGGAGCTTTTTGGTAAACTCGAAGGGACCACGACAGAATGGAGGAACTGCCACAAGCAGTTGGCTTTGGCACGTGTTCCTCATTTCTCGCCTGTGTTCAAAGCACGTTTATGGGTTGCACACAAACAGCTTACATGGACTTTCCCCTGCTGAGTTATTTACATTAATTGAAACTCCTAATTGCTCGCTGGAGGAAACCCCAAACTCAGCTAGTTGAAGCCAAGGTCTAGGGCTGCCACCAAAGCATTGCCATGCTGCGGTCCTGGGAGATACGGAGCCAGCTTCCCTTCTGCAAGCGCTCCCCCAGCCCTGCTCCCAGACATCAGCTCAGAAATAACATTTGGCTTCACTTTTTGCCTTGAAAATTAATTAAGACCAGAGGTTGTCATCCTTACAAGTTCATTTCTGGCTCCAAGCACTACAGTTGAGCGTTTAGCTCACTATGCAGAGCTCCCCAAAAAGCATTTCAGAAGATGCTGAGCCATTTAGCTCCAACTGCAACTTAACCCAAGATGAGAATATCCTGTGCAAGAATATCTCAGTTTTGACTTAGCAGTTACTCCCTGCAAGGTGCATCTGCGTAGAGCAAAGTCTGTGTTAATCTCAAAGTTCACCCAGCACAAAGTGCCAGGATGCAGTGAGGGTTCAAAAGCCCCCTGTTGCAAAGCATGTAATTAAAAACAACCAACAACTCACTGTCCTTTACCAGAACTCTGTTTACTCATCTTGTTGGCGTAGTTATCAGTCAGCAGACAAGGATGGTATCACTGGATAGTGAATTACTTTGAGCAAGAAGGTGCGTGATTTCTCAGCAGGCAGAACTGGAATCCCTCTCCACCCCCACAACCCTGATGAGCTGCCATCACTGCAAGAGATGGGCAGAGCAATGCCAAAGCTCTTTCAGGCAACACGCATTAATGATTTACAAAATTCAAAGGCAAACACTATACGCTGGAAGAAACAAATGAGTAACACTCTGATCAACTAAAAATAGATGCCAGTATTCCAAGGAAAACGTATAAAGTAAGAGACAACTCTGTTTCCTATCACACTTCTTCTGCAAAGCCTATTCCCTGCTCTGCTTTTTATTAATGAAGACACGCACATAAAGTAATTCACCTCATTAATCAACTTAATTCCTTTGGTTTCTTCCCACTTGAAGTGACAACTCTCCATTGGGGATGTCACGTTTAGGTGGTGTTGTGGAGACCAACTTTGGGGAGGAACGAGTTAGCAGAGGCAGATGAAACTCTTCAGCAGAGTTGGGCTCCAGAAGGCTCTCTGATGGATGGGAAGAGGGAAGGAAATGGTTTCTGGTGAACAGTAAATATGACATCTCACTGGGAAAGAGGAGAAATATTGTGTAGGAGGAGAGCTGAGTGGTTTGAAGGCAAGGAGAAAACCATCCCCACATGGGGCAGGAGGATGGGATGAGCACAGGCTGCTGAAGGCACCTCCCAGCCATCACTTCTCTCATCCATAGATTATCTGATTCTATTAAACAATCTCATGATGGGAAGATCTGCCTGCATCAGAAGGTCACTTGGAAGAGCTGTACTGGAAGCAGACTATCCATCAGGTCTTCATTTCATATCTCTGTTTCCCAAACACAGCAGTCTACATCACTATCATAGGCAGCCAGATGCACCCCTGTGCAAAGCCCACCCCTCTGTTCCCTTCTTGGCTTTACAAGGATGAATGACCCCCAGTGCCAACGCACCGACCCTACGGTGAGATAAGCACAGGTCCCTGCTCAGGCACAGAGCAGAGCGTGGGGGCAGTGCACATCTGCTTCTCCTCTGCTCCAGTACAGCTGTGGAAAAACCCAAAATCGATTCTGGGTCTGTACGCAAGTTTGGGGTGGGCACTCTCGGCAAACACCAAAAGTGTCATCCAAATTGTCCTCATCAATCTGATACAAAGCTGCTGGCATCTCTTCAGAACAGCTGGTGAGGGGAGCGCCGGAGCGAAACAATGCAGGCAAATCAGCAGGAGTGGCTGTCCTGCCCACAGCCATGCTCTGCAACACCCTCCAGAGCAGCAGGGAGAGCTCAGCACCCAATTGTGCGCACTCAAAGTGGGTGCAGCTGAAGCCCCAGTGCTGGCCCCATCGTGCTGGGCATATTCCTGAGCAGGGCAACTGTTGGCACAGTGAAATAGGAGCTGAGCATCACAGCCAGAGACATAAAATGGCCCTGGAAGTTGCTCTGCTCCCATGCCCTCCATGCAGCCCACACCACGCAGCTGCACTAATGCACGTTGAAGGCTTTTCCTGTCCAGGATTGTGCCTAGCTAATGTGTCCCAGCTCACCAGAAGAAACAACTTGAGCTACTGAACTTTGAGCCTGTGACCGCAGAGAGCTCGTGCTCTATTTCCACTTCATTTAATTCCAACACTCAAAACCAGAAGGGACTTAGGGTAACACACGTTGTTGTTGGCACATGCTTAACTGTTAAACAAGAGTCTCAAAGCCCAGCTGGGATGACAGACTGGCTCAAGCCCTCCTGAGAGGCTATCTGCTCTCCCTTTTGCACTCAGCACCTTGCTCAAATGCTAGCAACTTGCAAATAAAATCAAAGAACTGTTATCCAAGAGGTGAAAGTGTTACCACATCCATCTCTGGTGCCAAACACTATTTAATTTCCACTCACCACTACTTCTGCACTTGCCTGTAGCCAAAGTTCCAAGCAATTTTGTTAAGGAACTGCAGAAAGCATGGGAGAGGGGAAAAAAACTTTCAGAAATGATCAGAAGGTGCCAAGATGATGGCACAATATCCCCACATGATTCTATGAAAGCATCTACTCACTAGGCTCAAGGCTCAACTGAGGTTTCCTACGTTAGAGCCATCTCTGGCCATGCCAGAGCCCAGCCCTCCCCACCAGCCCCATCCCCAGCAGTGCCCCCAGCATGGTGCTCTCCCAACAAGGACATCCATTGAGCCCTGTGCACCCTCCACTGTGACACAGTTCACCTCCACCACCAGCCCTGCACTGTTGTACAGGTGCAACCACAGCCAGACGAGGCCTACGTATACCTTCAAATTTTACCTGCTCAGATTTCATTTCATCAGCCAGAAGGAAACTAAATAATTACATCAGTTTGCCCAAGCACCTGGATGTAATAAAGTCTCTCCACATGCTTCTACTGAATTACTCTCAATTCTGATTTATGCTGTTTTGTCCTTCACATATACACCTTGAAAATACAATTATTATCACCTCCTTATTAGATAAAGCTACTTAGCATAGCCACAGGCCAGCAATTCACTGTTCACTGGGTTCGGCTCATCATTTTGCAAGGCCCATAATAAAACCGGTAGCGCAGCAACAGAGGTCCCAGGGAGCAAGGAGACAGGAGCAAATACCTTCCAGGGATATAATGCTGTTCTCCCAGTGCAAATGTAGTAGCAGAGCTGGAGGTGGCTGCCAGCCCTGGGGCAGCAGCAGAATCCCTCACTGGGACCTGGAGTCAACACAAGGCTGGGGCTGGCTGCCAGGCAGGCTGGGGGGCATGCTCTGTGCTAGGGAAAATCTGCTATTTCATCTCAGCATTTCTGATGTTCACGACTCCACGACTAACTGCAGGCACACGCTTTGCTAGAATATCACCAGCATAAAGATGAGGACAAACCTGCCCACAGCCAAGGGTACTGCTTGTTCATCAGTGGTTAGCCACATCCTGCAAGAGCAGGAAGCCACCGTAAAACTACAATTGCATAGGTCAACTAGAGCAAAGTCTCCCATCTCGAGCTCAGCTCGGAACCACCACTCATGTGTTTCTGTGCCCTCCTTGCTCTGTGAGGCCCCACAGACATGACAAGCCTCCAACATGGCTGCCAGGGGAAGATGGAGCCATCCGAAGCAATGGTGCCCCAGCCTACTGCAAAGTCCTCCTGCTCATTCTGCAAAATTAACACACCTGCATGTACCTCTCCTCCTCTGGGCCTGCTGGAGAAAGGTTCCTGTCTTCCTCCATGAGGGGAAAATGGAAACTGAAATCAGCTTTGTTTTCCTTCCAGCCCTCCTTCCTCAAGCTCTCCATCCATCACACGCACAAAATCCAACAGATGTTGGTTTCATTTAACAGCTGCTCAGGGGAATCAGGACAGGGCATGAGGTGGCAGTAACAAGGAGCAAGTTTTCTTAGCAGCCTTCTTGAGAAAAAAGCAAACAGGCAGGAGTGCAATAACAAATACCACAAGAGTGTTCTGTAATACCATGAAAGACTTCAAGCCTTTTGCTCTGTAAACAACAGAGAACACTGCAAAGGCTCCTGAGATTTCGGGCCAAATCTCTCTAAAGGCCTTCAGTGACAAAGAGTGCAGAAAAAAGGAAAAAAAAAAAACAAAAAAAAAGATCAAGACACGCAAAGAAAATCAAGTGTCATGGTAAAGACAGAAAGAATGACAGGGTGCAGATTAAAAGAGAATTAAAACAAAAGGAATAGCGGAGTTACCGGGTAACCATCGCGTCCTGACTGCCCCTGTGGTGGGGAACAAGCGAGATATCAGGTCAGTCAATGCTCATAGCAGCAGGCAGGGCAGGGGCTGTCAGCTCCCCCACTGGCCCTAGGACCAAACTCCTCCATAGAAAACTCTCGGAGCAATTTTCTTCCCCAAGAACGTCATGCCTACAGCCAATTTTTCCCAGAGTTTGACCTCATGCCTCACTTAAGCTACTTACCAAAGGCTTGGCCAGCTTGCTCCCATCCCTGCTGCCCGTGAAGCACACAATAGAGTCCCAGCCATGCACCCATAGCCCCATCCCAAAACCAGAAAGAGGTTTTGTTGGTGATTGCTGAGCACTGAACTACCCTGGCACCTGATCCTGTGCAGGTTTCCCCTTCCAAATCCATTACTCTCTTTGAGGTTGAGATTCCCCCAGCTCACCTCTACACCTCGCTTCTGTTTGCAGTGAAGTGGAAAGCAGTGGATGCTATGGGGAAAGACCTTAAGTCATTAACAATACCTGTAGGATCAGCAGAGAAAACCCCAACTCAACCAGAGGACTTCACCCTTTCTGCTTTCTCAAAGGCATTTACAGCTCCAGTTGAGCCAGTGGCACAGTGAGGGACTGCTGTAAGCCAGACACCAGGAAGATTCCCAGGAAGGAGCTGTTAAGCATTAGCTGGTACACAGGCAGGCAGTAAGGCATGTGTCTGCTACAGCAGTGTCATATGCTACTATAAACATAGATTATGTCAGCATGCCTCAGATATGCAGTGATCTCCACACGTTTCCTACAGCACGAGCAGCTCTGGCAGCCCATTCCTATCCATTACAATGGTTTTCACTTCTTGCTAAGTGCTCCTGCAGCTCCAAACGCCTCCTGCAGCACTCTTGGTTCATCCAGAAACAACACTGGCTTCCACAACCACCTATTTAACAAATTGCAGCCTTGGGATAAAGCATACAGTGAGGTCTTTATAGAGATGTATGGCACTGGAGCACACACACAAATAGGAAACACTTGTAAACTCGCTTGCTGGTGAGCTCCCCAGTCAGCATGCTAATACATAAAGTGTCTGCTAATATCTGAGACTATAAATGTTTAATTATGCATGTGGCAAGTCTATCCTTCAATGGCAGAAATTTCCTACCCAGCATGTGATTTTAATACCCTCTGAAACAGAGGTTTTACAGCACAGCAGAGCAGAATCCCCCTCACTCACAAGACAGGACAATCAATCATCCAACAGCCACAAATCCTGCACCACAAATTCTAATAATTTTGTACACACAACTAGCTTATGACAGCCAAAAAATGAAATGCCAGAACAACTGCTACTAGGGAACAACAGAACTGAGGATACAGCCTCAGCAGTGCGATGCTGTACATGTAAGACGTAATCGATTCCTTATGGCCAAAATCAAGAAACAGAAGAAACCAATAGAACTAAATGCAGTACTGCTGAAATAAAATAATATTGTGGTTCTGTGGGTTCTAGGACTTTTATTACAACGTTTAAAGAGATCTCTGAAAAAATGCTACTTGAGCTAAAAATCGCAAGATTATTATTTTTGAAATGAACTAAACCAGGAGTCGTCTCTGGAAGGGCAAAGGGAGAGAAAAACGCCTTGTTTGTGTTCCATCGCCCCTGCGCTCCGCCTGCACTTCAGTAGTGCCGTGGGAACCAGGAAATGAAACCAAGGAGAAACAAAGCAAAACTCAGAGTGCTCCATATGTTGCCTCTGCTGAACGGCGCGCCATGCAGCACACGTGAGGCAGCGCAACGCGGCTGGCTGCGTGTGGGCTGATGGCAGGTGCAGAAATGGTTAAATCAACCCCTTTAAAAGCCAAAGTACTTGGATTAAGAGAAAAAGTCCCTTACAGACATATCAGTGGAGTTCAGCTCCAGCACCCTGAGCACTGTGCATCCACGCAGGGCTCTGCCGATCCCTTCAGATGGAAGATCCCCTTTCACACCATCATAAACATCTCCAAAACCCATCGTTTTTGTGGTGTGGGCAGAGAGGCCGTGTTGTGGTTTTCAATTACAGAATATTTACAGGAAAATGATTTCATGGTCAGACTAAACTTCTGAACACAAACTGACAAGGAAAATTCATTTGTTTGCCTTTCTCGAGCCAGCCAGTATCTGGGATTTATGGCTAATGTTTGGCACAACACTTAGAGTCAATGTGTTCAGATCTCCTCTAAGGACAGTCAAGTCAAAGCCATTAAGCCTTAAATTTTCCTAATTTGCTCCTTCGAAACGTGGCCCAATAATAACTTTACCCAATCCCCTCTTCGGGCTAAAAAACAAACTTGAAATAGAAGTGAAATTTCCAACGGCTGAATGCCATTAACCAAAGCCATCAGCAGCGTTGTCCATCCCAGGAGAACCAAAGCCACAGCGCTGCGACAGCTCCCACGCTCCACGTGCAACTCCTTGTCACCTTTTGGCCTTCAGGTAGATGGACAGAACTAGAAATTAATTAGCCCAAGAATTGCTAGCCAAGCTATTTTCCCTGAAATGACCCCTTTCCAACCCTGTGAGGCCCTGTGAGATGAGAGCAATATGGAGAAACGTCTCTGTTAATGCAACCATGGACAGGGAAACACATGGCTGCCAACAGCCTATGCCTCTCCTCCTGCACTGGGGGAAGAAAGAACGAAAACAGAAGCACCTAACACCCATAAATCCTTTTTAAAAACCCCTCGGCAGCGAGGAGGGCCCAATGGAATGTTCTTTTCTTGCTCCAAAAGCAGCAGGGTAACCTCAGATTTGAAAGTGGCGGTGGCACAGCGAAAGGCACGTCTAACATTTGGAAAGAGGAGTTGACACATTTTCAACTATTACCCCTTCAAACAACAAATTCCCCATAAATTTTCTGGTTGCACTGGGAGGAATGCTCATTATTCTCCCCAGGACTTCAAAGAGAAGCAAGCAAGCTGCATCTTTCCCTCCAGTCCCCGTTGCAAGGCTACCAAACCCATGTTAAGTGATGGAAACACAACAGATAAGAAAAGCAAGGCAGAGCTTTGGAACTAAAAATCCCACCAAAACATTAAAATATTAGTATAGCGCTCTTCGGGCTCAGTAGAAGCTGAGTAAAGAAACTCTAAAGGGAAATCTTTCTTTTTTTTCTTCCTTCTGAATATTTGCTGGGTTTAAAATTACTGGAAGTCCCCGAGGGCAGCAAGTTAAACGTTTTAGAACTCCCCCCACACCATTTGTCTACAATTGTGAAAAAAATACAGCAGCATCTGGTACCAATTTTCCTTCCAGACACACCTCTACCAAAAAATGCTGTGCTTTTGCAATGACACAGAAAGGAAGGGGAGGGGGAAGGAGAGAGCCTTAACTTTGTCGATCCAACAGTAAAATCCACGATACTTACTGCAGGTCCTGGAAAACAAAAGAAAAACAAAGAAAAAAGTCACTTAATCACGAAGATGAAGCATAACCTAAAAAAAAAAAAATCAGAGTTACATTACTTCTCAGTTCAATTCCAGCACGATGACTTCCAAGATAAACTTGATGCTGCCCTCGTTCTTCCATGTCACACATGTTGTTGCCCTGCCAGCATTCATGGCGGGTGTAAAATCACATTTTTTACACCTTTGTTCCCAGTGTGACTCCATCCTCTCTCTCTGCACAAGACCCCAAGTACAGCACAAGGCATCACCCACATTCACTGCCTGGGCATCCCATGCAACCATGGAGCATGGCCAGCAGAGCCCCTCAGCACAGCTGGAGCTCCAAAATAAGAAGGGTATCTTCACCATGGAGCTCCACATGACTATGGAAGAGAAACTGGAGAAGAAATTTCAGAAGTCATCTTTGCCACAGTAGCAGCACAGCGATATGGCTGCCCTCAAGGCCAGAGGGATGCAGCGATCCCACAAATCTACAATAGGTTTTGGATACCAGTATCACTGGCTGAAGCTGTGTTTAACGGTAGTTAATAAACAGTAATAAATAATCACAGAGAACGGTGCTCCCCTGCAGGGCAGGGTCTCTGCCACGTGCCCTGCTGATTTCTGCTGATTTCCCAGCATTTGCCCTGGTTGGTGCTACCCGGAGGTGAACCCTGAGCCCCTGCTCTAATGCAATCCATGTTCACTTCCACTTGCGAGGCGTCCCAAAGCTTGCTGGTTTGGGCTCCTTCATGCTCCATTTCCTGGCTGATCCAAACCAGAAACAAATCACAATTAAAAAAGAAAAAAAAAATAATGTGGGAAAAATTAAAACATAGAAAAAAAAAATAATTAGCTTTCCTCATTGTGTATTATTCTGTGAAATACAATGAGAAGCATATTTCAAGCTAACGCATCTTCGAGGTTTTTAAAGTTTGTTTAAAAAATCTTATGTTGAAAAGTTTAATAACAAAACCCCCAAAAGCTGAAGAATAAGGGCTGAGACCAAAGTGCCTGCTGCCAAAACTCAGCCCATTAACCTGTGCTTGTCAGCTGAACGTGGCCAGTCCCACACACAGCCACTGCCAAGTGCCAGCTCCAAGTCTTACCCCCACCTAGAATTCAATTTTTCTTAGTGCTAAAATTCACTCAGGCTATTAGTGTTGGTTTAGTTTCTTCTGTACACAGAAGTCAGTGGATCTAAGCCAATGTATGAACTGAGAATCGTAAACCTGATTTATTAACTCATATACCAACTTACCCACAAAAGGCTCATGTAGAAAAGTAGAATCTAAGTCTTGAATCAGAATCAGCCAGGAAATTATTTTAATATGGGATTTCAATCACCTACCAATTATAATCTCCTTGGGATCCATTGCCTTTTCCAGCTACTGTTTTCTCCCCACATGTAAAGGGAAGTGCTCTTTAAAGGTTCTTCTCAGCTACCAGAATCAAAGCTAGGGGTCTCCTCTCTGTGCCACATAGAATGCTCACAACTGACACCCATGGAGTTTATTGGCACTTCTGGCCAATAAATATTCATTAAGGCATACATTTAAACCTATAGAACCAATCTTTCCTCCCTCAGAACAGCATGATGCTCTGGCTTATGGATCATGTTCTTTAAAAGCCTGGCCACAAGATCCTTGTCTCCTATAGAAGCAAGTCAAGTATCCTGCAAGGCAGCAATAAGCAGGAGCTCAGCCTGTGGCGAGGGGCTGCCTCCTCCCCAGCCACCCTCGAGATGTAGGCATGTTGAAGAACGAACTGGAAATTCTTGTAACGAACAAAGAGCTGGAAACAGACTTTGTGACTTTCAAACAGGATAACAGATTAACTTGGGAGCTCACTTCAGAAGGAGGAAGACAGAATAACCCGCGTGTGCACGGAATTTGTCTACCATCGGTTTCTGCGATCGGCTGCAAACATCACTGTGATGGGTGAGGGACCAGCTGGTATCTGAGTCTGCAAGGGCATGGAGATACTCAGATACACCATGAGATTCCTTAGGAAGCTCAACAGTTGCACTCGAGGGGGGTGGACAAGCCCATTACAGGTAAGTGACCCAAATTTCCTGACTGGGTATACGAAATAACATTCATGTCAGTCTAAGACCCAGCACGGTCTCATCCGTGGCAGCACACAGACATAACGGAAGTGACAGGTCACAGACAATTGCTTCCGCATATTTTTGCGGCTTGGGAACTTGGGGATAAGCAACTATTCCTGTTTAATCATTTATCATGGAGTCCTTCCTGCCATGACAGCAGGGAAACCAAACCGGGGATAAAAGCTACAGTGGGAAGATGTCCTGGAGCATAAATAAGTAGGACTGATGTTGCTTCTCCTAAAGCTCAGTAGATACCAACACAGTCCTCACCTACAATGGACTGTGCACAAACTGATGATGGTAAAACACAGGGAGCACTGAAGATTCCCAAATAAAACCCAAGCTCTGCATGATTCACGCATACACGGCTTGAATAACTGCACACGTAGGGCTGTATGTGTGCACATGCAGGGCCAAGGGGCTTGGAAGTGCCTTAATGGGTAAAACATGGGCTGTAAGTATGTGTAGGGCTGAGAGAGGAAGAATGCTTCTCCGTGCAGAAATTGCTTTACTCTTCATTAAAAAGAGCCTTAGATTCTTCCCTATTCCAAACTGGGATGTTTCTGTAAACAGAAGGGATGTAACAAAATATTAAAAAAAAAAAAAACAACAAAACTTTGAACCAAAACTTTGGTAGAAGTTCAAGCTAAAGAAACAACTGCAGTGAAATGTAAATTTGGAAACAAGGGAGGGTGGGGGTGAAGGCTGTTTTATCTCATTTCAGAATTTCAAAACCTTTTCCCTAGAAGTGTTTTTGAAGCACAAAATTCCTGTAAACAAAACTTGCAGCCAGAGACAGCAGCTTTTACCCACGCTTCTCAATGAAATAGCACTTTGTCAAATAACAGCCCCTCTCCAGGCGTACCCACATGGGCAATTCCTGTGCCCAAAGCAGCCACGCTACTGCTGTCAGAATAAGATCCAGCTCTTACTTCACATGAAGACATCACTGAAGGTGAGTTTAGCATGGGAAGAAAACTGTATCTCAGATGTGCAGGCTTGCTGTCCAGAATAACCACAGCAGCAAAAGGTTCAAAGTCTTCCACATTTTTCTTGTAGAAGGCTGCAAACTGCACATAAGGTTGCATTAATTAAAATGCATCTTTCTTTTCATGCACCAACACTTCCTGAGGACAGATGCACAAAGGCCTTCCATGCCATGCTTTATTTCCAATGGACAAGCAGCAGCTGGCATACAGCAATCAGCCCCATTCCGTGGATCTGGGGCTGTGCTGTAGCAGAACAAAGACAGCCAGGACCACGTTGTGCTGCTCCAAGATGCACACGTGCCCTGTGGCATCAGCCGGTCCCCTGCGGGAGCTGCAGTGGAGATTCCCAGGGCCAGATGGCCACTCGCGTAAATACCGCGGGTCAGACAGCACCGCTCGCCTCCATAACTCTGAGTTTGTTTAGCAGGGCTGACAGCCGCAGGATCGCTCCCCAAATATCTGAGCTTCACATTTATGGTCGGCGAGGAGGTGAAGGGATCACGATGCTCAAGCCACTGCCAGTGGTTTACCCCAATGTTTTACACCCTTCTTGAAGAGCGTGTGACACATCTGCCCTGTTTCAAAATCCAAACGGTTCACTTTTTTTCAGAGTTGGTTTAAAGCTCATCTCTTACAGCGCCTTCCTGTGGCACAGCAGTTCTCAGCATGCTTTCAAGATGATGAATTCTTAGAGAAATGGAGAGCTGTTAGGTTAATTTTCTTTATGATCCGAATCCATCAGAGCCAAAGAAAAAAGCAAAATTGAGTCTTGGTTTAAATCAACAGAACAGTGCGATTGAAAAGGGACAGGATGATCTCTTCAAGGTTTCTCTGCTTGTTTATAAGAGATACAGATTGAAAGTTTCAACATGAATCAGAAAGGTTTTTTCAATGTTACCATTTTAAGAACTGCCAGGAAAAGCTCTCCCTTTGGCAGGGCTGGAACCAGCACTGCACCTCCTGGCTTGACAACAGTGTCTGCAGGCTGTAAGACCATAACCACATCTGGCCCCTGGGGATGGATGCTACCATGCTAGGCAAACAGTGTTTTATTCACATTTATCAGCTGCAGCGAAGGAACAAGAACCTGGTTTATGTGTGGTCAGGTTCTCAAATATAGAAATATATATTCAAGCTATCTATGAAAACAAACATCTGGCAGCTCGGCCAAAAGCAACATACGGAGGGAAGTCTGCTCTCCACGTTTCTATCTGCAGCAGAGCAGAGCAGGCCTTGGGGCTGCCCTGCATTACACAGATTTAACTGCTTTGCCCCACTGAGTGTGTGTGTGTGTGTGTGTGTGTGTGTGTGTGTGTGTTGGTGCACACAGGTGTTTGCTGTTGCCAGCCTACTGCTGCAGAGGAAATCAGCTCCAAGGCCCGTTGCCAGCATGTGCTCTGTGGCTCTTCCTTCTCCAACACCCCACTCCTCTTGATTTTCTTCTCAGTTGCATAAAAGTTGAGAAAAGATGCATGTTATTAGTAACTATTGGTTTTTTTTAATATGTTATAACTTCTTATAACTTTCCTGTTGGTCCTGTGTTGATTCACCAGCAGCTTTCTGCTTCTCCAATGGGACGCATGGACAGCTGCAACATGATGTTAAAACCTTCAGAAACCACAAACCAACAGCAGTGTTGATGATACAAATCACTCTGCCTTCCACATTTGCTTGGAGTTCATCAAGGAGTTATCCTCACAACTGTCCTGAGGGCACTGGGAAAAGCAGGACTCAGGGACTCCACCCTTGTACCAATCTGCTCACAGAGCACTTGTGGATGTGCTGTGGCATAACCAGAGCAGCCTTCAGAAGCTGTCATCTGAAGCAAGACGACAAATGAAACATGAAGGCATACTCACATTTGGCGCTGCTAAATTTTGATAAGGGCTAGAAGCACCTTGGAAATGCTTGCATGAATATGTGTATAAATGTACCAAATTCATGGCAGTCCTTGCCAGCTGCCCTTGGTTGAATGCTGTATCCTTTAAGGGCTTTCAAGAGTGCTCTGATGCTTAAAAACAAACATGAAAATCAAAGCTAGCTGGTGGCCGTTCCTACAGCCCAACCGCTGGGAAAATGGGTTTTGGTGAAATGGACTGCGATCTGCCATTGTCACCATGAGAGCAGTATCCCTGCCCTGGCTGCAAGGAATCCCTGATGCTTTGTGAGCAAAGATGCCTCAGAAACACACAGTGAGATGGCACCAATGAAAGGAACGGAAATGCCTGCCTGTCCTCCGCAGAGATCAGCTCCTGGCCCGCAGCACTAGCAGCCTGATTCCCTCTCCCCATAGTTAAAACAAAGAAAAAAAAAAAAACATTAGAAATGGCTGGCCATAAAGTTATGCTTTTAGAAAACGCAGTGGTTTATCTACTGTAGTCAACAGCAGCAGAGAGCAACCTCCTGGATAAGAAAAAACCTGCCTGGTCCCCATTCATTCACTCAGATTCAACGGCTATTAAAAGATAAGGAGTACAAAACTTCATCTGCTGGTCTCTGACATGCCTTTCTGGGTACTTTCCTTCAACAAGGTGCAACCGTTCTCCTTAAAAGAGCAACACAATCCACATCTCTCCCCTTTCCAACCACATTCAAACCTAAGAGCAGAACATGAACAGCCCTGCTCTCCTGCTGACACAAGATCAGTGCTTTCCCAGTTCACAACACAAAAGAAAATCCACCAGACAGCAAAACGACAGAGATGCAGAACCAAAACACTTAGCAAAGATACAGGTTCCCATCGGGCAGGCTTGGGCTTGAGCAGGAGCCAGCCCACAAGACTCATAACAGCATCGGTACCAGGGGGTGACTGCAGTGCTTACCAGGCTCTCCACGCCGTCCGGGCTTCCCTCGCCTCCCTGGAGGGCCTGTAGAAAGAGAGCTGAGGGTTAGAGATGGGCAAACTGTGAGCTCTGCCCCATGCACCCAAAGCACCGCCTGCCCCCCTCTTTTCGCCTCCCACAGACACAGGCTGCCAGCCTCCTGCACAAAGTACATCGGTACAGTGAAAAAGGGGAGAGAGATGCACCTAGGCAAGGTAGGAAGGAATTTTTGAAGCCATTGTGAAATGTGGTAGAGAGATCTGGGCTCCAAAAACTCAGAAGAAAGTTGTAGAAACTACATACAGATTCGTGCTCTGTGGTGCAGCTGCAGTTCTGGGCAATCCATGCACCACACAAGTGGCTGCTGCAGTTTCACACATGACAGCAATGATCCAAGTGAGGAATGGGAACCTTTTCTTGCTAATCTGAGTCAGGAGTTCCCACATAACAGCCTGCTGATGGAAATTCTCTGTTTTCCCCTATCATTATGAAAAGGTGAAAAAAACTCCACAGCAGCAGCCCCCCCCGTGAGCACCCAGGGGGCAGGGGATGTCCTCACAGAGCCCTGGGAGGAAGAGGCTGAGTTTTGAAGCAAGCACCTGGTATACGGGTAGTGGTGCTTGCAGCTAACCAAAGGCAGGTGTGGTGGTGAAGGGTGAACGTGTGGAGCTCAGGCTCTCAGGATGGCAAATGTGAGAAACTTGTGAGAAAGCAAAGATTGCCTTTTAAAAAAAATAAACCTGTTTTAAATGTAAAGGGATTTCTTACTCCTTCACACCTCTGCGTCATGCAATATATTCTCTGTGACCTTTCCTTTCCAGAAGGAGATCTGTAATAATAAGTAAAGCTTGGAACTATGAGTACAGCACCCACTGAGAGAAATGAAAGCTGAGAACAAAGACAGATTTGCCTTCCATTCCATTTGCAGACTTTATCTTAAAAAAAAAAAAAAAGAAAGTTAAAAAAAGTGGATTTGGAAAGGCAGGAAAAACGTATTTTGAAAACCAGGGCTAGGATCCTGCTGCCAATGGACATCTGACTACAAAACAGTCTCTGATAAGAGAGAGAACTTCAGTGGAGGCTGAATGAGAGAATGCCGTATCCACAGCACCGCTGGCAGCAGCTCACAGCCCCGTTGTGATGCGGGCGCCATCAGGTGTGCAGCCTGCCTGAGCATCATCCTGACCTCCTCTCAGCACAGGGGACAGAAGAGCACATCCTGCAGGGCCAACTTCAGAGCACTGGGCAGAGCACACAGAACACCTCCTTTCAGACCCCTTCAGGAGACTACAAAGGGCATTAAGGAGGCCAGGGAATTTGTTTGAAGATAAATGGTAGCTGTAAGCCGTTACCTAATGACTCCATCTCCTAAGATCTCGCAGTTTGATGCTTGTTCAATATAATTAAGATTTATGTTGCATTAGCGTCAATTGGGTAATCGCTGAGCCTTTCTTCTGACCATACCAAGCTCCTCTGTATCAGCACTGGGAGTTCTTTATTTACATTTTTACGAGAGACAGTTTTGGAGAGGAGAATGGATCCGAAGCATAAAGCAGTCTGCTTTTAAACAACTTGTCACGTTCAAGCTAAACAGCCCTAATCCAGAGCACAGCATGCCACTTCTGACAACACCGTGAGCTTTCCACTGAGATGACAGATGTAGTAACACAAAGGAAAAGCATGAAATGCACTGCTATTAGGAAGCATCATGAGAAAGAGCTGATAGGTGCACCTAAGGAATAGATGCTCAAAAAGGTTAAAGGTTCCTGGTAAACAGACTGCACTGACTCAGCTGTAAATTAATCCCATTTGAACTAATTTACCCAATGTCAATTGGGCTGCTCTACTAACTCTGTAATCTATCAATACCAGGAAAACAGGTCTAATATGTAAAATGCACCACGTGTGTTGCCTATCATCAAAGTTAAAACACTTTGGACATAGTCAGACTTAGGAGGATAACCAGCTATCACCTCAACTTTATGAGCAAATTACTGCCTATGTCACAGTCGGACATTAGGTAAGTTGGTATTCACCAAAATGAAGGTGAGCTTTAAATGCCAGCATGAAAAAGTGCCCAACATCACAGCCCAGCAAAGCCACACCATACTGTGATCTCAGCCAGAAGCACCAAGGTACATTCAGAGATTCTTTCTCCAGATGCCATTGCCTCTAACCCACTGTGTTCTAACACGGGATTAAGCTTTATACCGTTTTGGAGGGCTCTCCCACTCACATGCTTGGCACTCTTAAAATGTTTAATTTTCATGAGCTCGAAGTCATTTAGATTGTTTCCCCTTCTCCTTGTGGCAGTTTTCAAGTTGTCTTCAATGAAATTACTTCCCCCCTAAGCCCCCATTGAAAATGAGTCAACCAGAAGAATAGCTTGAACAAGTTGGTTGGTTCGGCCACTCTCAGAAAAGCAATTTTCTTTCTTTCTTTCTTTCTTTCTTTTTTTTTGGTATATCTTCCCATATGGCTTTACTTAGAAGGCAGGAGACCTTTGCAGCGTACCGCAGGGTCTGGTGTAGAGCACTGAGACTGCAGCCCTACTCGAGCTGTTCCTGCACAAAGGCCAATTTACTTTCTTATTCCCTGGGGAAAAGCTTTATGGTTCATGGACAGAAGTCAGCCCCTGCAATGCTTGCTCAGCTGATACTCATCAGGTACTCAGGTTGGGCTGCAGACTCTGAGACCGCGGAACTGAGATTAAACAGTTTTGGGTCACAACATATTGCATGAACCCTCTTGGCTTTGGATTCCAACGGACCCAAAGACTCAAAGTAAATACCAGACAAAGATTAGAAACACCCACAGTTTTCCAAATAAAAACAACAAAAAAAATCCAATCAGATTCATTTCAAATTTGGTCCAGGGACCCTAAGAACTCTGAAATCTTTGGCTATGCTCTATGTTAGTAGAAAAGCCACCCAGAAAGCAACGTCTGGTTATTACAGTGGAAAAACCTCCTCACAGTTCAATATGCAAGCCAGTTGCTTTCAAGATACAGAAGAAAGCAAAGGATTATTTTTTTTCTCATACCTTCATGCAGACCTTCCTGAACGAGGATGCAAGGAGGAGGATGCTGCATGCTGGGGAGCTGTGCTCAATCTCAGAGAAGAAAAGAGCTCCACGAACCAAACTGGAGCAGCTGGGCAGCACATCTGCGGTATGCTTTGCCTGGAGCAGTCCAGAACCTTTGCACCAGAAATGTACAGCCACAAACTCTTCTTTAACAACAGCTGAGCTAAAATGAGGGGGATGAGATGGGGCATGGAGCTGGGGAGGGAAACATAAACCACTCCAAGAAGATATGGCAGAGAGTCTACATCCCAAATTTAATGACCACCAACACCAATGACACCAGTGATGCCAGCACATGAGGTACATTCAATCTGGTTTGGCAAAGCTCTTTAAATATCCCAAATTTGCCTTTGGTCTTAAGTGTTTTTGTTAATCGTAGCCAACAAAGGTTTCCCTTCCCATGGCTGGATCCTTGTTGCAGAAGGAAAAATAATATTCAAGACCATTCAAAGAGTAAAACTATATATATATATATATAAAATAAACATAGAAACAAATTGAAATGCCGACTGTGCTTCATTTACAGCAACTGAGACTGTGCCATATGCTGAGCATTCTGAATCCACCCCCACTCTTAAATCATTTTTCCCTTTTTCCTCACACCCAGAGACAGCTTCTTCAAACAGTCAAGTGCATACAGCTCTTTTGTTTAGTCACCAGGGCATGAAGATAAACTGAATTTGAGATATAAATTAAGAAGTGACTGGAATACAGCCACAACTGCACTTACATCAAACATGGAATTTTTTTCCCTTTGTTATGGCTGGGCTTACTCAGGCCATTTTCTGATAATACCCTGGCAAAGCTGCAGCAAAACACAGGGCAGGAGCAGATGTATGGAGAACACCCCACTTTATTTTTAAAACAAGAGGATGCATGTTTTGGCAGCTGTGTAGGCTGCCATATGCAAGGAAGGGAGGTTTACACGGCAGATTTCAGCTACCCACATCTGCACTGGTGCAAATCCTGGACAGAGATGGTAGCTTTGAAAAGCTTTCAGAGTGTAAGCATGAATGGTTTGCACACACACATAGGGCATTGTGTTGCTTTATGAGAACAGTGGCTGTCTCTGTTCACTGCACCCATATGCTCCTACACACTCCAACCTCTGAGAAAAGTTGAACAAATCAGGCTTCTCGAGGTATGTGTTCAGTCAAGTCAGGCAGAGTTTCATCAACATGAATCTAGCAAATAAACAGATTCCTTTATCTGCAATGGATGCAAACTAGAAAACCATTCGGTGGTAGAGCTGAGGGAGAGGAGCAAGGTGACACTCACACTGGAGCCCTCCAATAGCATTTGGTAGAAATTCATCAGCCTTACTATAGCATCTTCAGGCAAATTAAAGCATCACTCACCCATCTGTTACCCACAACAGATGAGCAAACATACCCTCAAAGACTGCTTTTTCAGGACGCATTTGCACCTTGGCTTTTTTCTGCTAAAACATTTGCAAACACAAAGCCACCTCCTGGAAGAAGCAAATCACCAGTACTGAAGCAGTCCCTGGTGACCAGGATGCTCAATTATCTACAATGTACAGTATTGCTTTTCTTGCAACAATAAATCTGCCCAAAGTACCAGCCTGCCTGCGATAATAAGAAATGCATACAGATGTTGGGAATACCCCTACAGCATAGGGAATGGCTGTGCATTTCTTGCAATAAGGCACCTATTCTCTTTTTTCCCCCAAGAACTGCAAGATACTTCCTTAAGGTAAGCAAGATAATGAAGCACTTATTGCTTCCTTTGGTTTTCAGTTACAATCTCACATTTAAACAAGTTTGACATGTTGGATTACAAAATCTCTAGTGCAACATTCAGATCTGACACAAAGTACTTGGGTTTTGATGAATTGCATTTTTAGAGCACGGAAGTACTCAAAGCTAATGAGTATTATCTGCAGTCGGAATTAGCTGTTCCAGATCCAGGATCCCACAGCAAAAACTAAAGTGTTCTTT